GCGCCAGTAATCGATCCGGAAATGGCCAATATGTCCTGTTTGGGGACCTCTTCAGTAAAGCAGCGCGTTATGTTCTGAATATCGCGTCAATGGTACGGTATTTTACTACGGCAAGAATACTACTTTTTAAGCGCGCTGCCAGATCTTTTGACGTGATGGGATAGTCTCATACTGTTTATACGTACATGCGCTCATGTGTTTTTTATCCCTCATCACTTTTGGTTGCATTTTTTGTCACACTGTTTTATCTCTCAGACTAATGGCACGTAATAGCCACGTATGCGTGTGGATTGTCGGCTGATGTTGAATACAAATACAGATGGTTGGACATATAGCCCATTTGATGGGACCGCAACCAATATCCACCCAAATTGTATGCGTTCTTGTAGCTCTGTTGTGCCAGTGACGAAGCATGTAAAACATTGCAAGTTCATCTAGTTCAACGACTGAAAGAACATAAAACTGCTGGGCCCAGAGCCAGACAATTTTTAAGCCATGATATATATTCTCATGCGCAAGCGCTGAGCATGAAGCATTTCGTGTGTCAAACTCAAGACAGAGAGGGATATTTCCGGTGTGAAGATAAAGTATGTTCTATGGGCTCTTAGCGCAGCTACCCACACCTGTTTACATCTCGTTTGCATGCACAATGTTGATAACACCCGCTGGTTAAAGACGCCGCGGGCGTATCGCTGGCTAAAGTCTTGACGATATCGTCGCCCCTCATTGCTATTGGTTGCCCAGCTGACTAGATATTTCCTGTGACGATTAAGATTATATCGCTATCATTAGCTAAAGCGGCTTAACAGCCAGCTGGTGTTCTGCTCTGCTTAACGGCTACTCCGAACATTCTATTCGTGACATTGTGTTGCCCTTATAATCACTGTCTCCAAGGAAGAAGCCTTTCTAGACCGACGACGGACAGGGCTCCCTGGCGGTCCGATGAGATGAGGCTTGACTCCCATATGAATCTTTCTGGCGGTGGGGGGGGGGGGGGGGGGTGGGGGGGGGGGGGGCGGGGGGGCCACAAACCGTGCGGTGTATCGCAATGGCGCTCTGGGAAGGGCCTGGCTCTGTACTCAGACCCCGCGGCCATTGGCTCCCTCAGTGCGTCTCCCCTCCCGTCGGCCGCCGCCTGCAGTGGACTCCCGTCCTCGGTTTGTTCCCAGCAGCCAGCCAACGAGTCATTAAGGGCGCCTATGGCCGAACTTTGGCATGTGGCACCCCTACCTTTTCCGAAGTCACCGCCACTACACAGTATGTAGGCAATCGATGCAGATGACTTTCTAAACCGACGATGTAATCCCCAAATGCTTGCCTTTCGATCACAGTCTAAATGCAGCTCAGTGCATGCTTATTTTCAATAAATGCATCACCGTAAGGGGGGAGGTAACTCCCGTGGATGTCCGTGCCAAGCCGGAACCTACCTAGCTACATTTTCGGCGAGCTACATTTTTGGCGAATCCGCTATCTACATTTCCTTGCAAAGACCAGAGACGAGCTTGCTTGATAGGTTTTGGTACACGTTGTATTGCAAGATGTGTCGTTGGGAATCACCTGAGGTGAAAACATGGCGCATCGTCAAGCATCTGACAATACAGCCTTGGCTTCCCCGACACCCCACTGCACAACCGCACTTATCATATGCAATTTGATCGGCACGTTCACCGAGATAGCTTGATTATTCTAATTCGGAATATTCATGTTTGCACAAGGACTGTTTTTACTCGGCTACAATCAGCTGTGAGTCGCAGTTATTGCCTGGTTGGTGTGTACCCCGCTGATGTTGTTCGCCAGATGGTGCGGAAAATTTGATTCCAGTCCACCCGCGACTCCAATCTCGATCGCTGGAATGCCGGCCCAGTTTGCTAACCACTGCACCTCAGGTGCCCAAATGAATCGCCTTCTTAACTGCCTTGATGGTTCCTATTGCTAAATGGTAAGTATGTTATGGGAACTCTCATGCCTGGGAATCATTCCCTTTGACACAACTGGCGGCATTCCAGAGATCCGGCCGTAGTCCCAGTGGGAAAGACCTAAATTATTCGCACTAGCTGCCGAAACAATATAGGGGCCATGCAATTGGGCTCATCAAAGATGGAGAAGTTGAACAAAATCAGCTTCACGCAATTATGGATATTTGACTCATGATAGTTGATGAGTTAGGGACAATTATTTAAGGACAGGCTTAGTTGAAAGCAAATAATCGAAACTTCAGCAAAGTTGATGGCCAACACGATTACGACGATCGTGATGGGTGCACTGTGCAAAACGTGTCTCTCTAAAACGTGCTAAATCCCAAAAGTGTGCACGGACGCTTAGAAAGCTTTGGGCGCACATTTGTATCAATTTTGTCATCGATACCAGTTCTTCCATTTCGACATATTCTTGAGTGATTCCAGAATAATGACATAGAGCTTGTGTGAGATGGTTCTACGTTGAGCAAACTGAAATGGATTGCATACTTTGCTTCAAAAAATGGTCTGGGATCCAGAAATGTCATTACGGTACGACTGACTGCACCACCAAAAACTACCTCAAATAGACATAGTTTAGCAGACTGATGCGATGAGGCAGAGCCAGCGCGGTAGCCCACACCTTCTTGCCAAAGCAGGCGCTTAACATTCACCCTGATAGGGAGAAGTGGGAGTTCGACGCTACCCCTAAGGTTTTTTGGGATACATCTCCGGCATGCCATCCAATCACGCCAAAATGTTCAGTATTCTGTGAGTCATCCCTTGCACGTTTTTCGACACAAAAAACAGGTTACTAGCCTTCTGGTTTCGGACCAGCGGCGGCTGTCGAGGAACACTGCACAGCAATCTACGACCGGGCGGCGGGGTGCAACTGACGATGCCGCGGAACGCGCGCGGCGGGTAGACATAGTTACATTCGCAGTTACGGAGTCTTATATCATAAATCTAAGCTCAAAACACATGCAACATATACACAATTGCACTCGGAATTCAGCATGAAATAGGCCAGTTTAGGTTTCGCGTCGCCAAAATGTGAGATAATCGTATGAATAATGTTGTAAAACTGAAAAGTGCGAGTTTCTGGAAAGTTGAAGCCCTTGACCTGGCATAGTCAGGTCAATTGTAAGCCTCACAAGATGGAAACTAGTACTATCACAAAGACTGAGACTAAGAAGGGATATTTTCTTCTAAGCTCTGTCTTCGTTAACTCTGGCAACGTTAGTTCGGACATTTCGTTTTTAAAGCAGAACAACGTTTATACGGCATGCAGACTTAGTGCATCTTAACGATTTGATCCCCCACTTTCTTGCGCATTCAGTATATTGTATGAGTGCCTCAGGTAAGCACGCCTTCAAATGCAAGCAACACATTTCATTCGTCTGGCACCTGAGCTTGTGACTTCATATTGCACGCTTTACATCAGGTGACCATGAAAACGCTTGATACAGATATTCCTTACCTTTTATTGCAGATGTGCTGCTCGTGACATACCCTCGCACCTTGTTTTTCGTCAGCTATGCCATTTCCTGGATAAAAGACTGACTTTCGGAAATAGTTTGAATGCGGCTCGCTTTAAGAATTTGAAAGTCCAATACCTCGTGGCTTCCGACTGTCCTTGTTCATCAGATCATAGTTATTTCCATACACAAACACGTCCGTTTTCAGAAAAAACCTGCCGCAGGCATGTCACTATTCGACCGCTGAGGCTAACGGCCAGTTAAAAATTGATGTCATACAAATTCTAAAGGGTGTAAGACCATACTTCTGAATTCTCTGAAGCTTGACTGAATTCGAAAAGAAAAGTACTTTAAGATGATGCTCGCCTTTCGGACACGTATCACTCCTCACGAAATGAAATCAAATCTACATGTATTTTTAATGATGCGCGATTATATGAGCCAATAGCGGCATTGCCCACTTACATAAACAATTATTTTACATTGATTGTAACTTGCTGACACCACATCCACCGCCAATGAAAGGTGAAAATCAGTAAATTATTTAGACACGAGATCAGGGTGTTTAAAGCGTTGGGCAACTCGGTCGCTACATGCAGCGCTATTAATACGCGCGAACCGTACATCGTTTGATAAATTAACACTTTGATATCACATTTTAATAAAGCATACAACTGAAGCTTCTTTGCTTCTTAATAGCTTCTTTGGCAACCACAACTGCAATCCTAGTCTCATCCGAACACTCATCAGAGCAGAGGATATTTTGTTGCGCCGGCAGCGGCACAAGCTTGCCGTCCACGTAGTGTTTACAGACAAGGCGGGCACAAGCATTCGGGGAACTCCTTCCTCCTGTCTCCCGAGCCTCGCGGCAGAACAGGTTGTCGGCCTGCAGCTTCTTAAAGTCCACCTGCTTTTTAACCTGCGGACACCTGCAAAGCGAAGTGTTGATGAGACAAGCCAACATCCAAAAGCCGCTGGTTTTACGGGGACGAGTATGTTGACAAACGGTAAAGTATACAGAGCTGCTTAAAGCGAATGCAGTTTTCCTCAGCGTCCAAATGCCAATTCATGAAATGTAGATAATGGAAGTTGCAATAGCATTCTTACTAAAACAATATCACATGTTCCTTTTGCTCCATAGGACGACCTGTGACACTGCGTGACATTTCCTGGCGAGATCAAGCCGTCAGACTCACTGGAATCTGTCAATGTAGAGAACGCCCTCCTCCTTGACGCAGTGACTCTGTTTACAGCCAGAGAATGGGGAGCTCCATACGTCCCCTATGTTGAACTCCTCGTCAATGTTGCTGTCATGACATTTGGTGTCGTCATCTGGAATATGCATATCGACAGCGGGTTAGCTAAGATCATTGGTTGGAGCGGATCGCGGGTTATATCGGAGGTTAAAATTGATCGCTCGCTGTCCTCGAAGTCAAAATATCCAACACATTCATCTTGGTAATACGGCATTTTCCCTGCTGAAAATGTCAAGCCAATGTTAGCTTATGCTCGTCAGTTGAGCAACAAGCGAAGTGAAGAAACAGTATCTCTCCAACCCAAATCTTACCTCTACCAACCGGGAAGCGAAGGTACCTCGGGTACTGTGCACAGCACAGCTGCACACAAACAACAGCGATGACCAGCAGTTTCCACATATTGCTGTCTGAAAATCTGACGCTAGTCCACTCTCGTCTGCTGTTTGACCTGGCCACCAAACGCCTCTGTATGCAGCCTCCAGCGGCCGGCTCGCTATATATGCAGCACCGGATCGTGACGTCACGTTGCATAGGGCTGGCCGTAGTGTGGGAGGCCTGCGAGAAAATCTCTTCAGCAGCGATGTTTTCGACGCCGTGCATGCAGTGGTTACATTGCGGTCATTCGGGAGAACGTCGTTGGAAGAGTGCTATTCTCGACACCTTGCCTGACGCCCGGCTTTCGGGCACCGACAAGGTGACAAGTCCATTCCAGTGGAACCGATACGAGATCTGTGGTAAAACCAGCCGGTCGACGATGCTGAACATGCCGGATCGGCTTAGAGAGGTAAGCGAGCGGTGTAGGTCATGATGGTACACACTGCATTAGTTTTGAGAACCATGACCGTCGTGGTCAGTGCATTGCAACGTCATGGAAAAGTCACATGGTGACTTAACCTCTTCTATGATTTGCATTAAATGTAAATACGCACTTCTCAATAAGGCCTTGCGGCAAAAACATGTAGCACAGTCCCCATGACAATCATTTGTTGTGGATGGTGATGTTTTTAGTCAGGGTCTCAAGATGATAATCAATGTCTAGCAAATGTGTTCACATCAATGAGAAATGTCGGCCGGATTTGAAGACTGCATCCAGCCGCGAACGCATAATATTCGGAGAGAATATTAAATGTTCGGGGTCCCTGACACAATGGCTCCTGTGTCGGTCAGGGGCCAGCTGCGCGGGTCAGAAGGCGTCCCGCGTCAGGGAGCGGACCAATATGATATGTTGTGTCACTTTAAGGTCTCACATGGGCCATGGATGCCGCCCCGTGTCGCCAGCATAACGGTCGGATGACACACCGCGGTGCGACATAATGGCCCTTCAACCCTTCACCGGGAACAAAACTGCGCACCGTAGTGTTCTACTCAAGGGGGCCATTTCACCGGAAATGAAAGGTCTCATTAGCGTTGAATGGAGTCGGTCGAAATAAGTTCAAAACGTGACAAGCCATCCCATGCTTGCCTGGGAACGTTCATTCTTTGCAGAATCGACTGGTGAAATAAACAATATCAAAAGGTTTGAGTCTGCGCGCCGGGCGCCGATAGTGTAGCGGCGCCTACGTTAACCGCAGCGCGTCTGGGAAACTTCAGGTGCGTGGTTCGATTTCTCGCGGTGCTCGCCCTTCTCGCCATGGTGAGAGGCTGGCGACGCCGTTTAGCCCAAACAGCTGAGTGCATCACAAAGCCCGGATGACACGCCCGTGATCTCGGGGAGCAAGGAAAGCGACGGCCTGGGTTGCAGTTTTCGTAAGACCTTTTTTCGCAAAAAATTATTCGTCCATTTCAACGTTGTCTTTCCTGGGGAGCCGAAATTCCACGAGCGGGTAGGCATTTTGGGTCATTGAGGAGACATCTGTCTCCCCAAGGTAGATTCCAAAATATGGCCTGAGCATAGTCTGGTGAGAATTTTGAAAGTGAATCGATGGCTCACAGTACAACAGACTTTGCAGGCGCCTTTATTTTGCTGGGTGCTTTTCAGGAGATAAGATTTGTCGTGGCATTTTAGGCGGAAACAAATTCGGAAGCTTGAAACTGCCAAAAACCGTGTGACAAAAGCCATAGAAGTGGAGCTTCTTCTCTGGAAACCAAGCCACAGAATTAAGGCCCTTCTGTCATATATTTATTGTCTGAGCCCTGCTCCCGTCAGCCGTCGGTGGCCACTGTCCTGGCCCGGCTGTCTGCGAATGACTGACCGCTAACCGATGGTATGGCTGCTTTGTTGCACATTTCTGGATCAGCATTGCTACTATCTTCCCTTACATCACACCACCCCAGAAAAATCCAGCTGGGAAGCTGCCTACTTTAGGTATGAATTGGCCAAACGGACATTTAATTGCCCGTCATTCAACATAGATGACTTGATCGGTTTTTGTGTGCAGGCTGGGGGTAGCCAGAGCCTTGCTAAGAGGAACACAGGGTTGACCAAAGCCCCCTTTATGGTGATCCCCCACCCCCGTAAACATATCCCCGAACATAGTCTGCTTGCTAGCGAGGGGTACGGTTTTCTTCGTCTCAATGTTATTTTTACGTTGTCACCAGAACAGAAACCAGAGGCTACTGTGAAATCCATTCTATTTATATTTTTAACACGCACCCGGGCAGCCTGCTAGATACCCTTCGCTCGGGTTTGATCCCTCCCCCTGATATCTTGGTAACTAAGAGAGCTGGAAGCACTAAATTCACAAGGTGTGTTGACCTGTACGTTAACTCACTTAGTCAAAGTTTGAGATTCCTAGGTCATGACTTTCGGGGCAAATAAGGTCAAACAAGATCAAATTCCAGGTTGGTTTCTTAAGTGCCCCCAGAACATAGATAACTCTTTCTAAGGAAAAGGTTGCATGTTCAGTTAACGTCAGTAACCTTGTTTGACCTTTTGAAGGTCATGACGACCAAAATCATACAAGACTGCTCTGAGTTTTGCATTTGAATAAGAGACAAAGATTACGCTAAGCAGTGTTTTTCTAAAAACAAAATGTTGACGCAGGTCATTTTAGGTCAATGGTATATTATGACCTCTAATAAGTTCATGGAAGATGCATAATGCGATTCCTGCTGTCAATAAATTCGAATTGAGCACCAGAATCTATCCCGTACAGCAAGCCCTAAGATAATAAAACAGATCGTTTTTGACCTTGGTCTGACCCTTTTACCTGACCTTACGTCAACGTAACTTGCTCATTCAATATTTGCGTTGCCTAAGAAAGCGTCTCAGAGATGTATGGCTTTGTCTAACACTCAATGGTTGCATCAGATTGAACGATTCCCTACAAGTTGACTTCGCTGAGACCATGGCCTGACTTTAACCTGCCATAGGCCATCGACCTTACAAAGTACATCTAAATTTTTGATACCAAACGATTCGCTATTCATTTGTGTAAAGCTGTGCAAAACAGGGCGCGGCTGCGCCGCGCCGTTCGGAAACCATTCTTGAAAAACCTTTGGGGGCGAGC